CAGTCTCATCCTTCCTCTCGCCTTTCTTGGTTTTGTTTGTTTGCTTGTTGTTTCTTTTTTTCTTTTTGCGGTACGCGGGCCTCTCACTGTCGTGGCCTCTCCCGTTGCGGAGCACAGGCTCCGGACGCGCAGGCTCAGTGGCCATGGCTCACGGGCCCAGCCGCTCCGCGGCATGTGGGATCTTCCCGGCCCGGGGCACGAACCCGTGTCCCTTGCATCGGCAGGCGGACTCCCAACCACTGCGCCACCAGGGAAGCCCTGTTGTTTCTTTTTTTAAAGACAGGTCTCTTTAAACTTCTCCTTCCCCAACAAACAAACCCAAAGCAGAAGTTAATTGGTGTTTGTAAACAAATATAAAACTGACTTCTTGATGTAAATACAGCGAGCCAGTAAGCATATATATGCTCCCATGTAGCAAGGTACTAGGTGTTCTGATAGAAAGACATATAAGAACAAATCCAAATAAATAAAATTTGTAAAATAAATAAAGCCCACAATGAGACACCCACTTGAATGACTGTAATTGAAAAGACAATACCAAGTGTTGACAGGGAGGTAGAGAAACTGGAACCATCATGCACTGCTGGTGGGAATGTAAAATGACACAGCCACTTTGGAAAACAGTTTGGTGACATCTTAAATAGTCAAATATAAACTTATCATATAATCTAGCAGTTCCACTCCTTAGAGTCTACCCAAGAGAAATGAAAATGTATGTTCACACAAAGACTTGTATACAAATGTTCATAGCAGCATTATTCATAATAGCCACAAACTGGAAACAGTCCATATGTTCATCAAGTTATGCATGGATAAACAAAATACAGTATATCCATACATTGGAATAGTATCTGGCAATTAAAATAAATGAAACACTGAAATATGCTGAAGTATAGATGAACCTCGAAAACATTATGCTAAGTGAAAAATGCCAGATGCAAAAGGCTATATATTGTATGATTCCATTTATGTGAATCTAGACAAAGCAAATTTGTAGAGACAGAAAGCAGATCTGTGGTGGCCGGGGCCTACAGATGAGAACAAATGGGTATGATGAAACTTTGGGGGCTGATCTAACTGTTCTAAAACTGGATTGTGGTGATAATTGCACAGCTCTATAAATTTACTAAAATCATTTAATCATACATTTATAATGGGGGAATTGTATGGAATATAGATTTTATCTCAATAAGGCAGTTAAATATTTTTTCTTAAAGCGTATACCACAATTAAATAATTGAAAGTTCTTTTCTATGCAAAAGAAATAGAAAGGCACTATATATAATTCAGGTGTGGCCTGCAGACCCCTGGAGGTTCCTGAGATATTCTCAGGGAGTCTTCAAAGTCATTTTCCTAATAATAAAGAAGCTATTTGCCTTTTTGAAGGCAAATAGCTGTTGACATTTGTAGTGATGGTGCAAAAGCAATGGTGGGTAAAACTGCCTGTGCCTTAGCACAAATCCAGGCATTGGCACCACACCTTATTAGTAGTCATAGTAGTACTATTATTAGTAGTACTAATAGTAGTTATTAGTAGTCACCACCACCAAGCATAGTGGAAGAATATATTCTATTTTCACTTAAGAATGCCCTTGATGGGGACTTCCCTGGTGGCGCAGGGGTTAAGAATCCACCTGCCAATGCAGGGGACACGGGTTCAATCCCTGGTCCAGGAAGATGCCACGGAGTAACTAAGCCCATGTGCCACAACTACTGAGCTTGTGCTCTACACCCCGCAAGCCACAGCTACTGAGGCCCATGCGCCACAACTACTGAGCCTGCGCTCTAGAGCCTGCGAGCCACAACTGCTGAAGCCCACATGCCCTAGAGTCCGTGCTCCGCAGCAAGAGAAGCCACTGCAATGAGAAGCCCGCTCGCCACAACTAAAGAAAGCCCGTGGGCAGCAACGAAGACCCAACACAACCATAAATAAATAAAATTGATTCTTAAAAAAAAGAATGCCCTTAATGAAGCAGTAGAAATTATTGAAGTTTTTAACTCTTAGATCTTAGATGCATATCTTTTTATTTTTTAATAAGATCTTTATCTCAAGGAAAAGCACTTCTGCAATTGATTGAGTTGCAAGCTGAACTTGCAGCTGTTTTTTTGTGGGACACCATCTCTACTGTAGAAAAAAAGTGCCTGGCAGACAAATTATGGATATTCAGACTTGGGTATTTGGCAAACAGTTTCTCAAAAATGACCAAATAGAGCCCGTTACTCCAAAGAAAACAATTGTCAGTGTTTGTTGCTGGTCATAAAATTCGAATATTAAAGCAAAATTAGAATTTTGGAAAACTTGTATCCACCACTATGAGCTTGACCTTTTGTCAAGACTTTTCTCATGAGGGACTTCCCTGGCGGTCCAGTGGTTAAGACTCTGCACTTCCAATGCAGGCGGCACGGGTTCGATCCCTGGTTGGGGAAATAAGATCCCGCATGCTGCGCAGCGCAGCCAAAAATAAAAATTTAAATTTAAAAAAGGAAAGATTTTTCTCATGAGATTGATGCTGATTTTAACAAATGTGATTTTTTTCATATTGTGTAATGAAATGTATCAAAATTTGCAGAATATAGGTAAGAGGTCTTGATACTAAAAACTTTGAGGACTACTGGCCTAGTGGCTAATAGCATGAACTCTGGGGCCATTCTGCATGGATTCAAATCCCAACGCTATTACTTATTACTTGTAGAATCCCAGTAAGTGTTTCACCGCTCCATGCCTCAGCTTCCTCATTTATAAAATGGGGAAAATAATGACACCTATCTCAGAGAGCTATGTGGGCATAAAAGTAAATTAATATATATATACTTGTGAACGTTAAAATGAGTTGATGTATGCAACCAGTTAGAATAACATGTGGTGAGTTGTTACTGATCTTGATGAGTGGTAATTTGTAAAAACAAATACATTATAAGTACAAAATAGATAGAAATCTCTATGTAATTATATATATATTTGTAACCAGGAAATCCCCAGCTGCTTCCTCCCCATCCCCCGTGCCCTCACCCCCCATCTCTGCCTCACCTTGGGTACTCTCACTTCCTGGAAGGGCACGTCTGTGCCTGATGTCCTAAAGTGTCCTCGCCATCTATTGAGATATCCTGAAGTGTCCTCCCCATCTATTGAGTCTCTGTTTGGGGCAGTTCCTTCTTTTTTTAGCAACCACACAATGTGTTTTTAAGGAAGATTTGGTGAGACAGTATAGTTATGAAGGGTACAGTTTAATAAATTGAATAGAAACAGAATATAATTATATGTCTTTGCATTCTTAGAATTAGAAGTCTCTTTCCTGCCTTAGCAATGTTTAAAATTATGATGCATCATTTAAGTTCAAAGAGTTTAGCAAATTATGTGAATAGAGAAAAAGTATAAGGTTCTGTCACATCAAATACATCCATTTTCAGTGCTTAACCCAAGCACACATAAAGTTTAAGGGAGAAAATGACTCGTTTGGAGGGAACCTACATCTTCAGCCCTGCAGAGAGACTACAGCTGAGCTATTTTTATCTATGTTTAGAAAAGTTAATTATGTGCTGACATCATTTATTTGTTCTACCAGTATTCGATGAGTGACTCCCATGGAGTGCCAGGCCCCTAGCCAGGCACTGTTGTCCCAGTTGTAAAGAAGGGATGTGGGTCCCGCCCTCCTGGGCTTAGTGCATTAAAGTTTTCTAATTGTTCTCCCACCTTCTTTGTAAAAAAATAAGGTGGTTCATCTGTTGTTCACTGACTGCATCAGCAGAGGGAACAGTATATATCTTATACTTTTTAAATGTTCATGAAAACATTCTCGAGTTTAGTGTGAGGTAAATAAGGTAAGCTAGACTGCAAAAGAACTGTAATGATTGTTTCTTCTCCTGGAAGATCACAAACAAAATTACCGTCTATTTTGGAGGACTGACGTTATACAGATATGCTCATGTTTGATGGTAAATAGCAAACAACCAGGCATGTAAGTCGTTGCAGTTTCACTGATTTACGTGGCTTCTGCTATCCTAGGAGGAATAATGAGCTCTTGAAAGAGCTCATTTGGGGACCATCTGTTTATGTGCCATCCCACATCACTCTGCCTGTGGTGAGAATGGTGGGTCGGCCCACAGGATTTTTTATTCCTTGCCCCTACCTACCCCAGGTCTTTAATTATTGCCACACCTCAGGTTCCTTGAGTGTATATAGTCACCTGTTAAGTAGGTTTAGAATAGTCCTTCCTTTCATTTTTGGGGGTATATTTAGAGAGCAAATTTTAGAACACCTTAAATATTTTTTTAAAGATAATGTAAAGTTACAAAGCAGTAGTAGTATTGAGATAGTGTGCTTACTGATATACTTGTATTTTAAGATTTGAGAGTATTTCTTTCCTATGCGGCTGGTTTACTGGGAATAAGAAATCAGATCAAAAAAAAAAAAAAAAAAAGAAATCAGATCAGGCTAAAAGCCAAAGAAGTATTTCTGGAATACAGGCTAGTATTGATTTCATTAATTTAATTAAATTCAATCTCAATATTCATTATACATGGAAAATATTGGCTATTTTTAGTCATGTTCTTGTCCCTGTCACTGCTAGGGCCTTATGCAAACTTTATGTGTCAGTAACTGCAGTTGTCTTTCACAAATAAAATGCACAAAGTCACTTAACCTGGGCAAGCAAACAATGGCTGTGGTTGAACTACCACTGTTCTTTTTCACTAGAATCTTCTGTTCTTTGATTCTCTTACTGTTTTCAGTAACTCCACCTAAAAATCAAATATTACTCACACGTTATTTTCTAAAAGGAGCCATAGCTCTTATAAAAGTTAATTCCTCTTTTCATGACAACGTTCCCTGTTCAAATATTCGGCAGTTCTCCTTGTACTGTGTGACATCTTTGTAAGGACTTTTGTCCTCCCCAACCTCAGAGGCTCCCAAACAAATCTAACGTTTTGTTGATGAAAATTTATGCTCTTGTTTAATTGCTGATTCTCATCTTGTCTTTTACATGTGCGTTTATGTGTTTCAGGAAAAAAGTGCCAGTTCAAATGTAAGACTTAAAACTAATAAAGAGATTCCGGGATTAGTTCATCAACCCAGAGCAAAGTAAGTTCTAGTTCCTATTTTCCTATATTGTTTTTAAAGCTAAAGATGTTTTTAGAGTGAGCTCCATTTTGCTTGCCATGTAACCAAGACTTATGATAAAGCCTCAGTAATTGAGACAGTGTGATTTAGTCTAATGGAACAAAATAGAGAGACCCAAAACAGACCCACAATATATGACAGAGCTGACACTTCACATCAGTTAGAAGAAAATGAAGGGGAATATCTTTATAACCGTGGGGTAGGGAAAAACTTTGAATAAGTCGCAAAGGATGCAAATCTTAAGAAAAATGATTAATTTTTGTGAGTACATTAAAATTAAGAGCTTCTGTTTATCAAAATATACTATAGGAGAGTAAAAGGCCACAAAATGATGGAATATATTTACAATACATATAATTAACAATACTTGGGTTTCCAGAATATATCAAGTAATTCTATGAATCAATAAGTAAAAGACAGAACTCATAGAAAAGCAGGCTAAAGACGTAAACAACCACTTGACTGAAGAGGAAACATGAATAGCTAATGCATATGAAAAAATACCATTTCACACCACAAGATTGGCAAAAATTTAGAAGGCTAATGATACTAAAATGTTTACCAGAATGTAGGGATATAAACTGGTACAATTACTTTGGAAAACAACTCCACTCTCAGGTGTATACCCTAGAGAAACTCTTGTGCATGTGTGCCAGCAGGCATATTTTGAAATGTCCATAGCAACACTGTTTACATGAGCTCTTAAAGCTCTTGAAGATATGGGACTTTCCTGGCAGTCAGTGGTTAAGACTCCACGCTTCCACTGCACAGGGCATGGGTTCCATCCCTGGTCGGGGAACTAAGATGCTGCGTGCCTCGTGGCGGTGACATGGCCAAAAAAAAAAAAAAAAAAACAAAGCTCTTGGAAATAAAACCCAAATGTCCATCAGACATGTAATGGATAACAAAACTGTGGTATATTCTTATGATGGGAATGCTACATATCAGTGAAAATGAGTGACCAATAGCTACCCAGATCAAGATAGAGGAATCTCATGAAATGTAAGGTTGTACCAGTAAGGTAAGTGGAAGTACCTGCCTATGTACATTTTCATGCATATAAAGTGCAAAAACAGGCAGAGTTAAGCCATATATTATATATATGTACGTGGTAAAACAATAAAGGCAAGCAAGGAAATGAAGAGGCATTAAATTCAGAGTAGTGGTTCTTTCTACTGGATAGAAGACAATGGGACCAGAGGTTCTATCTCTTAATCTGAGTGGTGGTTACATGCATGTTCCTTTAATTATTATTATTTGAAAATGTGCAAATAACATTATATGTTTCCTTTTCTATGTGTTAAGTATTTCACAGTTAAAATGCTAAATTAAAATGCTAAAGAGAATAATGAGTAGTTTCTATATTGTTCTAAAACTGAGTCTACCTTGGTGATAAAATGCACTTGTGTGACTTTGAAGCTACCTGCCCTTTCTTCAAAGAAGCTGTAATCCCAGAGGCTGCAAACCTCTTTTGTGTTGTTCTGCCTAAATATGAACAAATTCCCTAAGGGTGCTGATCACACAAGTACATCTGACACAGTCACCACCATCCCCAAATAATTTTAACTCTGACATATATGTAAATCAATATCATAAGTGGAAAAAGTTGTGTTCTTTGGTTCTTCCCAGGAGGTTGAGACAAAAATAACATAATCACTTTAACCTGGCTGAGTGTCTGGAACTGCTGCAGCCATGGCTACCGTGATATGGTGGTTAGGACTCTTCAAGGGGTGGTGAATGATCTCAGGGATTGAATTTTTTACTTCCAAAGAAAACTGGACATTTTAAAATCCATTTATCATTTACAGTGTCAGTATAATGGGACAACTGATTTTTTTCACCCTCAGGTAAATGTCATGCTATAATCACAACCTACCTAATCCACTTCACTTGTAATCACTTTTATCTACACTAGTTTTATCTGCCTCTGAGGATAGCAGATACCTGATAACACTACCAAATCATCTTTTCATCCAAGCCATTAGATATATGCTCCTTTTAAATGCTTCTAGAAAAAGACTCTATTGAGAATTTCTTTTTTCCTTTAAAGCAAATACTTACTTAACTTTGACACATTGAAATAGCATGCTTTGCAGACACACATGTGCTGAAGCTTTCAGAGAAGTTGATTAAATTGGCTCATGTGTTTACATTAAAATTATGAAGAAAATCCCCTGTTAATGCTCGTGTGTGTGTGTGTGTGTGTGTGTGTGCGTGTGTGTATTTTAAACTGTAAGTCAGATCATTGGGTTTCTGGAATTCAACTAAGAAATATTTCTGGAGGGCTAAGGGAAGGATTTTACTTTTTCTACTCGTTGACATAATATACGTTCCAGGAAATTATTCTTTATTATGCAGCTGTATAAAATAAGATGAGGCTTTTTCCCCATGAGTGGAAGGACAATCCCATACCTGATAATGGCAGATTTATTAATAATGAAGGCAGATAATGCTCACATCTTCATTTGATGCACCACGTAGAGCACATTCTTACTGACTTTGTAATCTCAGGCCAGTGACCTTATTATGTCTGTGAGCTTCAGTTTTCTCCAAGAAAAATGTTGGTGAACAATCCTGTCTTATAGGGCTGGGGCTTAAATGAAATAACGTATGCCTGGTTCTTATCGCAGTGTCTGACACTTGGTAAGAACACCTTAACAATTAGAAAAAAACCCAAATGCCCTTTGACAGGAAATTGGATAGATGAACAACACTGTATTCACACAGTGGAATATTAGCAGTTAAAATGAATGCACTGCAACAATGCACAACGCTGGATGGACCCTAGCAGAATAGCACTAGAACAAAGAGTAAGTCCTGCAACATTACACAGAGCATAATGCACTCTATAAAGTTAAAAACAACTAAAATAAATCATCTGCTTTTTAAGCACATAGAGAGATAGAGTAAAGCTATGTAAAAGGAAAGCAGGGGCATGATGGTTCCCTTGAGTTGGGAGTAACACACATGGGTGGGACGTAAGTAACCTCTAGGTTCTTGTTAAGATCGCAGCTTTGTAGAGGGAACTTAACCTCAACATATTAAAGGCCATATATGACAAACCTACAGCCAACATTGTTCTCAATGGTGAAAAACTGAAACCATTTCCTCTAAGATCAGGAACAAGACAAGGTTGTCCACACTCACCACTATTATTCAACATAGTTTTGGAAGTTTTAGCCACAGCAATCAGAGAAGAAAAAGAAATCCAAATTGGAAAAGAAGAAGTAAAGCTGTCACAGTTTACAGATGACATGATACTATACATAGAGAATCCTAAAGATGCTACCAGAAAACTACTAGAGCTGATCAATGAATTTGGTAAAGTAGTAGGATACAAAATCAATGCACAGAAATCTCTTGGATTCCTATACACTAATGATGAAAAATCTGAAAGAGAAATTATGAAAACACTCCCATTTACCATTGCAACGAAAAGAATAAAATACCTAAGAATAAACCTAAGGAGACAAAAGACCTGTATGCAGAAAACTATAAGACATTGATGAAAGAAATTAAAGATGATATAAACAGATGGAGAGATATACCATGTTCTTGGATTGGAAGAATCAACATTGTGAAAATGACTATACTACCCAAAGCAATCGACAGATTCAGTGTGATCCCTATCAAACTACCAATGGCATTTTTCACAGAACTAGAACAAAAAATTTCACAATTTGTATGGAAACACAAAAGACCCCGAATAGCCAAAGTAATCTTGAGAAAGAAAAACGGAGCTGGAGGAATCAGGCTGCCAGACTTCAGACTATACTACAAAGCTACAGTAATCAAGACCGTATGGTACTGGCACAAAAACAGAAATATAGATCAATGGAACAGGATAGAAAGCCCAGAGATAAACCAACACACATATGGTCACCTTATTTTTGATAAAGGAGGCAAGAATTTACAATGGGGAAAAGACAGCCTCTTCAATAAGTGGTGCTGGGAAAACTGGATAGCTACATGTAAAAGAATGAAATTAGAATACCTCCTAACACCATCCACAAAAATAAACTCAAAATGGATTAAAGACTTAAATGTAAGGCCAGACACTATCAAACTCTTAGAGGAAAACATAGGCAGAACACTCTATGACATAAATCACAGCAAGATCCTTTTTGACCCACCTCCTAGAGAAATGGAAATAAAAATAAACAAATGGGACCTAATGAAACTTCAAAGCTTTTGCACAGCAAAGGAAAACATAAATAAGACGAAAAGACAACCCTCAGAATGGGAGAAAATATTTTCAAATGAAGCAACTGACAAAGGATTAATCTCCAAAATTTACAAGCAGCTCATGCAGCTCAATATCAAAAAAAAAAAAAAAAACCCAATCCAAAAATGGGCAGAAGACCTAAATAGACATTTCTCCAAAGAAGATATACAGATTGCCAACAAACAAATGAAAGGATGCTCAACATCACTAATCATTAGAGAAATGCAAATCAAAACTACAATGAGGTATCACCTCATACCAGTCAGAATGGCCATCATCAAAAAATCTACAAACAATAAATGCTGGAGAGGGTGTGGAGAAAAGGGAACCCTCTTGCACTGTTGGTGGGAATGCAAATTAATACAGCCACTATGGAGAACAGTATGGCGGTTCCTTAAAAAACTTAAAATAGAATTACCATACGACCCAGCAAACCCACTGCTGGACATATACCCTGAAAAAACCATAATTCAAAGAGTCATGTACCACAATGTTCACTGCAGCTCTATTTACAATAGCCAGGACATGGAAGCAACCTAAGTGTCCATCGACAGATGAATGGATAAAGAAGATGTGGCACATATATACAATGGAATATTACTCAGCCATAAAAAGAAACAGAATTGAGTTATTTGCAGTGAGGTGGATGGACCTAGAGTCTGTCATACAAAGTGAAATAAGTCAGAAAGAAAAAAACAAATACCGTATGCTAACACATATATATGGAATCTAAAAAAAAATGGTCATGAAGAACCTAGGGGCAAGACGGGAATAAAGACGCAGACCTACTAGAGAATGGACTTGAGAACACAGAGAGGGGGAAGGGTAAGCTGGGACAAAGTGAGAGTGGCATGGACATATATACACTACCAAATTTAAAATAGATAGCTAGTTGGAAGCAGCCGCATAGCACAGGGAGATCAGCTCGGTGCTTTGTGACCACCTAGAGGGGTGGGATAGGGAGGGTGGGAGGGAGACGCAAGAGGGAGGAGATATGGGAACATATGTATATGTATAGCTGATTCACTTTGTTATAAAGCAGAAACTAACACACCATTGTAAAGCAATTATACTCCAATAAAGATGTTAAAAAATAAATAAATAAAAATCGCAGCTTTGGTTTTTTGTTTTGGTTTCATGGGTGCTTATTATACTGTTATTTTTAAAAATAACTAAATAAAAGTGAGCCATGAACTACTAGCCAGGGTGTGTCCTGCTGTGAGGATTAGGATTACCCCACTCCCCTGAGGTGCAATTGAAAAGTAGTAATGATGATCATGAAGAAATGACTGTGGGGCTTCCCTTGTGGCGCAGTGGTTGAGGGTCCGCCTGCCGATGCAGGGGACGCAGGTTCGTGCCCCGGTCCGGGAGGATCCCACATGCCGCGGAGCAGCTGGGCCCGTGAGCCGTGGCCGCTGAGCCTGCGCGTCCGGAGCCTGTGCTCCACAACAGGAGAGGCTACGACAGTGAGACGCCCGCGTAAAAAAAAAAAAAAAAAAAAAAAAAAAGAAAAAGAAAGAAAGAACTGTGTTTAGGCTAAGATTTGTCAGGAGTAATGGAATTTCATTTTTGCAGGTGAAGTGTTTGGGAATTAAGACCTTGCCTTCTTATACTTTCGCAGCTTAGGTGTTTATTGTTTGGAAGCTTATTTTTTTAAGTCACTTAAAATGGGAGCCGTGTATTTTTCAGCTCTAGAGCTCATTTTGTCCACCTTTCCTTCGTTTGATTACTTGTCATTAAGATTCCATAGCATCATCACCGTAGTCTCAGGAAACTGACAAGTCACAGAAAGAAGAGCCTCTGATGGCAGGGTTAACTCACAAGAGCTTTGCTGGGACCCCTGGGAGCCACAAGAATGCTCCAGGGTATAAATGGAGTATAATCTATCAAAATTTTGAGTCACTGTGTTGTACACCCGAAACTAATATAATATTGCAAATCAACTATACCTCAATAGAAAAGAGATGTTCCAGGGGAGCGTTGTGTTTTCCAAGGTGGAATTTTAGTAATTAGAGAGAAATAGGAATAGCCGAAATTGTTAAGCTGTAGTAGTTAAATCCCAACATACAGGCTTTTAGAAAAGACTTTTAGATCTAATTAATCTTAGCATCAAGTATTCATACTTTATTTTGTTTTGTTTTGTTTTGTTTTGCGGTACGCGGGCCTCTCACTGTTGTGGCCTCTCCCGTTGGGGAGCACAGGCTCCAGACGTGCAGGCTCAGCGGCCATGGCTCACGGGCCTAGCGGCTCCGCAGCACGTGGGATCCTCCTGGACCGGGGCACGAACCCGTGTCCCCTGCATCGGCAGGCGGACTCTCAACCACCGCACCACGAGTGAAGCCCTTAGTATTCATACTTTATAAACTAAATGAGAAACAGTCCAATTATCCCATCCTAAATCTTGAAGAAAGACAGTAAAGCCAGCCCAGCATGCTTTTCTATCTCCTCCCCTCACTCAACAATCATCAACTTGTCCATCAGAAGGGGTTTAAGAATCAAGTTGTTACCTAGGGACTGTTTCTCACAGTGCGATGTGTACCCTCGTAGGTAAGAACTATTATTAATGCCACTGTGTTGATAGTTTCCACGTGAGAGGAGGGCATCCCCGTTTACCTAGGCAGGAGTCAGTCGATAGGGGGTAATTTACTTCATCAGAGTGAAAGTTCTGTCTCTGTCCCTATGGAAGAGATTTAGGGCTTCTCTCTGAAAGGAGCGCATGAAGAACAGCAGAGTAAGCCTCACGCTGTCTGGTTACACCATCTCTAAGACAACACACAGGTAACGAGGATCTCCGTGGTGGGCGTTTGCTCCATCTGGCGGGGTCTGCTGCACCTCCAGGGATAACAGTTTATCTGAAAGAGCTCAGTTAGTGCATCGGGATTTGAGAATACATAAGTCACCCTTCCATTCAAGACCCTTTCCCTCCTGTCTGTGAATCCTCTCTGCTCTCCTTACCTTCTTAGTTTTGTCCTCACCAACCACGTCCATCTCATTAAGTATGCTGTTAAATAGCAAAGAACAGGTAAGCACACAGGGCGAGGGCTACTCAGACTTGCCTCCTCACTTACTCTCACGTTCCAGTGGATTTCAGTTCCAAAGAGGTGCATGTGCTGTCACCAGTACAGGAGATATTCAGGTCAAGTTCTCGGCTCGTTTGCTGCCAGCCCACACCTATACAGTCAGCTGAATACCATGCTGATGCTGACAGCCCGTGTAAAACACACATTTTAATATAATAACTAGGATATATTTTCTTGTTATGGTTACAGGGTTGAAATATGCCATGTACTGCTTGCCTGTGCTTTTTGTTTTAAGTACAAGGCAAAAATTGGGCACACACCTCCGAGTAACACCACTATAAATAACGTGTACGTTGAAAGGAAATTGCGTTCCTTAAATCATAGGAACTGATAGACTGTTAGGAAACACGTTTGCAGGGTTACTGTAATGACATTTATCCTTAGTGTGACTTCAGAGTACTTCAGTGGAAAAGTCTGCAAGAAATAAATGACTGCCCCGAAGTTTAGGGACTCGGCATTTTTCATCTGAGGGAGCTAGGTTTAAGAAAACACTGAAATACGCACTTACCTACTCTCTGTTTTTTCAGCATGCACATCTCTGAAAGCCAGCAAGAATTCTTCAGAATGCTGGATGAAAAAATTGAAAAGGTAAGAAGTAAAATTACATGTTTCAAGGGAAATATTGCCTCATGAGTTAGAGTAACGGTATTCTGGTTTCTGTTACAAAGCTTTTCTTACAAGGGGATGGTTAGAGTTAAAACAAACGTCCACACATCACAGCGTGGCTAGGAGAATATTTAATGTATAAAAGAGCTTCCCAGGATCCTGGGCTACCGTTGATCTTTCATTAAAGTGTGGAAAGTCAGGTAGAGACTGGTAAGAGCCTTTGCCTAGAAACAGAGCGTTGCTATCTATCACTGTGTATTGTCTGCACCTGGTGCCCTGCTCGGACCTCAGACTGCAAGCAGGGAGGTCCTTTGTACCTGTCTACTACATACCCAGTGTTGCTCTGAGTTATTGACAAATGTTGCAAACATGTTGCAATCAATACCTTACCTCAGGGAAGTGGCCATGAGACAGGTAATATTTGCATTTTACAGATAGGGAAATTGAGGCTCATGCTTGAGTAACTTACCCAGGTTTGCAAGGCTAATAGCGGTCGTGTTGGAATTCCAGCCCACGTCTGTCTGACTCCAAAGGAGAGTCTCCAGGTTGCTTCTCTAAAAGTGTGTGGTTTTTACAGTGACAGTAAGACACAAAGTTGATTCATGTGGAAATTTAACCCATACTTATGATCTCAGAGTGCCATATGAGAATTAACTGAATGAAGGGTTCAATATGGTAACCATTAAAGGCTTACGTGCTTAGAGGATTTAAATTTATCACTGCAGGGAGTGAATTTTAAATACTAAAGTTATACATCTGAGAATTATAATTTGAAAACCTTATTCTGCAGAAGAGTTAAATTCTAAATTCAGAGCATATCACGACTATGGTTAAGGCATCACGGGCCAATTTTACCTTTGAAATTTTTCCACTTTAATTTTTACTTCTTTTTTTACTTTTTGTGGCCCTTGAGCATTTCTTCATGAAGTCCTAGGTTATGTGTATATCAGTCAATGGAAGATAGTGAAGGAGGTCTTAAATTCATCCGTACTTCAGTAACAGACTCCTCTCTGAGGTGGACCTCTCCTGAAAGAATCATTATATAATCTTCTAATGCACCATTAAAAGACCAGCATCTATTGCCAATGTGAAAAATAGAAATGGGTAATGAACTAAAGTAATAGTTTAATCTATAGTGTTCCTTGGCTATGCTTACATTCTCATTTGAGTATATATATATTTTACTTTTAGTGAAATTTTAGCTTATGCATGACTTTTTAGATTGAAAACATCATCTAGGAATAATTACCAGGTTTCACATATTGGTTCAAAAGCTGTTCAACTTGCCAGTAACATTTTGTTTTCAGTAAAGAGAAGCATAAAAAGCACTATTTTGTTCCTACTGTAATGGTGAAGAACTTTTCTTTCTCTGGATTATTTCTCCTCCACAAGCTTTTTGGCAATAAAAATATTTGCTTAGTAGTCAGAGGTAGTCTGTAAAAATTGAGACCTGAATTGTAAGTTATCTTTTTAAACAGCATTTACAGACCCTGACAAGGTGTTTTAAGTGATCTAATCTCTTTCTGGTGTGTTTCCATAATTGAAATTCTACCTCTTGTTACTCAAAACTGAAATTCATTGTCCCCATCTGAAATTCTACTTCCCTTCTTACTTTGCATCCAGGATGTAGACTGTGATGTGTTTAGCACAACAAAAGCAAAGTTTATAACTTGATCATGTATTGGATGAAACTTGCCTTGGACAAAGGAGCATTTGTAGATTCAGGATACAGTGTTCCCACTATATATTGAATACATTTATATTCAAAAATGAGCTGTTATATAATCTGTGATACGTGCCCAGTTACAGATTTCTAAGGGAATTTTGTATCTTCTCTGAACCAAACTTTCCTATTTCTGCTCTCTTACCTGAAGTTCATCCTTCTGAATTTTGTGAATATGCTATCCTATGTATCATCTAAACATTAAGCCTCCCCAAATTAAAATGTTCCTTTTTAATATATGTGTTCAGCTTAATATAGTCTTCACCATAGTTTATATAACCAAAATTGGAAGTTGGATTCTTATGAATCATTTTCCTGACTTTTTACCATTGCTAAATATTTCTTTGGTCCAACTAATATTTAGACAACCATAAATGCAATTCACATCTATTCTTTAGGTTATATAGGATTGATGTAAAAAAACTAAACTCAGAGCTTCATGCTGCAAATTGGAGTCATTCTGAGAGGCCTTGAGTTTTGAGATATAATCTTTCTCAGAAATGTCCAGGAATTCCTCTTTTCTTCCTTAAGTTGGTAAGAAGCAAAATTGAGTGACTCTGTAGAGATTTAAACCTGCCGTTCCTTGATTCATCCTTTGTATTTATTGAACGTCTACGGGGCATAGTTTGATTTACCTTTCAACTCTCCTCTCCATACTAAGAAAAATCTCTGTTCTGTCTCTCTCAAGATATATGCAAACGTACCATTAGTATAAGGAAACAAGGACTGCTAGGTGGTTTAATACTTACAGTGAAACTTAATGTGGACTGCTGTAAATCAAAACTGATCATGGTGCCGAGCTGCAGTTTACTTTTGCACCACAGCTGGGCAAGCAGTTTTCTAAGAAGTTACTGGTGTCAAAGAAAAGCAAGTAGCAAAAATGCATTAACAAAGTATTTAGCACTTTCGATGCTAAATTATTTAGCATCGTTTAATTATTTAGCATACCAGGCATTATGCTGTGACTCGGGATAGAAAAACAGATAGGAACTAAGGGATACAGAATAAGTAGGAAAGAGTCCCTTGACTTGAGGAGCTCAGTTTTAAATGCAGATTTCTTTGAAAAGGTAATTATTTTACCAATGGAGGCGTCCTCCTTCCATCACCCCTCACACCATTATCACCGTGAGTCAGGTCCTCCTGTATTGAACGTAGGTGTTTCAGGGGTCAAGTGCTGAAACTTGAGGTCCGTGGACCAGGCAGTTGGGACATCCTTGGACACTTGACACCGTTTCACTTTGCTGGCGTGAAGAAAGCCAGGACACTGAGCTGCATCTGGAGATGACCACGAGAGAGATTTTTGTCAGGAGAGCAGTGAGAGTTCAAAAGAGCATCGTAAGCTCTGATCAACTTTTGCTTTTCCTTTTGGAGAGTAAAACAATGCTGTGAAGCAATGGGAGCACCTCATTTATCTTTACCTCATTCTTTTTCACTTGGATACCTAACCATTATTCCATTACAATCTATAGTTGTTGTCCCTGACAATTCCCAGGCTCCTGAACTTTATGTGAAGTGGTGACATTTGCCTAATTTTACAGCTTAAAGAAAATGACAGTTTACTGCAGCGCAAGGTAATGATTTTAAACTCTCGTCTTTCACTATATTTAGAGGAGAAAGAAGAGATCTAGATGATTAAAACTTGGCCCTGTGGAGGAGTTTCTGAATATCATACCAAAGACAGATCACATCAGATTTTAAGATGTGCTTTCTGCGGTATATTTGTGTACTTGTAAGAAGCAGAAGAAGTAAATACATTTTTTAAGAATCTGCATTAATACTGTCTTTCCCAGGCAAACGCAGGGATTTATATTTTGCTTTAGGAAGATGTAAGAACAGCTGACAACTGAGAAGTCTTTTGCTCTCTCAGAGAGAGCCCTGAATGTTAAAGAATGTCTCAGTGCAGTGCCAGTTGCATCTGGTTAGTTTTCCTCGTGAAAAGCATCTTAAGCTCTGTTGGGTCATGGGCATTTTTTTGGAATGTTGTAAAAGTTAGAAAGACTCTCCCTATAAAAATGCACATGATATCATATACACAAAATTCTTAAGTAAAATTTTAGAGTTTTTTAACTGTCTGGAACCTGTCCTCGGGCCCCAGGCAAAGAACCCGTGCATTTCACTTATGGGCTTTGCTCAGATCCAGGGCCCAACTATACCCATGAGCACCCACGAGTCTCGTGAGGGTCTGATCTTATCCATATGTATCTCTGACTGTAAAGAAAATTAGGAAACTAAGCACAGATAACTCCAAGAAAACCCATTCTCCTTCCTTTCATCGCTCCCTTCTCCTCTTTGAGAATAGCTCATAGTACTTCACCCCCCGAGGGTGAGCTATCAGCGTGCCACCATGACTCGCATATTCCTGTACGATTTTGAGACTCCGCCTCTGCTGACTGGAATTATTCAATGTGACCTTTTGAGGAAATGTCTTAGAAAGAGCAGCGGATGGATTTAAAATCAGCTGATTTTAATATGTTTATCTATAGACCTTTACATCTGTTGAAAAATCATTTACACTTAGAAAATGTTTGGGTTCCTGAAGTGGCCTGATTTCCTTGGCCCCAGAACTAACCTAGTTGGTGAGAAACATGGTAAGTCTGCATTTATAAATTTATTTCAAGGGCTCCTTTTCTTAATATTATGTCAGATCAGTCTGAACTACGCTATGAATCAGTGTGTCAGAGATCCGAAGGTGTTTGCTTTTCATCTGGTAAAGAGAGTGACTTGTGTGTAATTATGAGCCGTGATTTTTGGTTCTATATATAAACTCTTCCTGAAGTAGACTGTTTAACTGCAGAGCTGCTAATGATCGAATATAATATTTGGCACCTGCAGTTGATGATAGGTTTTACTTTCTGGTGGTGCGTTTAAAGGTCTCCTCAGTGCCGCTAGTGATGAGAAACATGGGACTGTTATATCAGATCCTGAAGAATGTCACCTGGCCTGCTCCATGTGTACGGAGGAAGTCATAGCATGTCCCTCCCACTAGCTTGTCAATTTCCGTAACAACCAGGGCCTTCAGCACTGGCAGAGAGATGCTCTTGCTGACACATGTGTTTTGGAACTGGGCTGGGCTGCCGTTATTCCATTAAACAGCTCCTTGCTCCATGGGAAACACAGCAGGGCCTTAATTTTGCTAATAATCAAACCCTGCCTTGTGTCTCCTTCCCCATCATCCCCCTGCCTTGCCTGCTCTCTCTCCTGTACGTACCTTTCCTCATTCGCTGGTCAAAGTAAAGCTGTAATTACAAGGGTAAGGCTGTGACCCAGCCCTGTTTTGTTTCTCTCCCTACCGCATAGCTTTATGCAGGTGACTTCTTAATAGTTACTATGATAACATTGGTGCAGGAGCCACTGGCGAAGTGCGTGCACACCGTGGACTTTGAGGATCCTAGCGTTCCCCAGCATTCCATGTAGCTACTGGTCATGGGTCACGCAGCCAAGGAAAATAAAGGAGGCAGCAAACCTAGAAGAATGCAACACACCCAGTCTCTTCTCACTTTCTTTTTTCTGGAGGGCTTGATTTTCAGAGAATTCTTGAGGTTCTATCAGCCTGGTGCCTTAGGGAGTAGCAAAGGAGAAGAGTCCAGGTTCCAGAACAGTGGAGTACATGAATACAAATAAAAACCATGCCATTTTTATGAATGCAGTGAGGCCGACAGTGTTCTGAACTCAACAGCAACCTGGGGCACGATCGGTGAATGGTGTCATTTTGCCATGGGTGTAGTACTTGGGCAAAAGAAGGTGGCCCAAGGTACCACTCAGAGCAGAGAGACAGTGATGCTGGCTTGTGTCGTTTTTTTGTCTTGTTCCCATTCGGTTTCTCCTTCCCTTCCTCTTCCTGGGCTATCTGTTTCCCCTCCTCCCCATGGCCTTTCCACTCTTCGCGCTTAGCATCCAGGGGCATTGTTTTAGCCCTACAGAGGGCCCTTGGGGACAGAGGGTACCAGCCTCTGTCACTGCTAATTTATTATTTAAGAATCTCTAAAAGAACTCGAAGCATTACATAGACGGTTCCCTAAGGATAAAAATTGGGTCTCTTTGTTTGCCTAGAACCTAGCACAGGGCCTGGGACAGAACAGAGGCTTAATAAATTTGTTGAAGGAGTGAATAGGGCACATAAGACCACTGGGCTTAGCAGAAGCAGAAGCACACGAAGGAAGGAGGTGTGATGGGGCAGACTCCTGTAGCAAAGGGCTCAGCGTGATAGGAGGGGCTCTTAACAGTTAGGAGCCCCATGGCAGGTATGTAGTAGGTACAGTGCCAAGAAACAGAACTGAGAAAAGTCAAGAAAAGAGGCAGCACGGAGCAAGTGAAAGAGCCTGTGCTTCAAACCCCAGGCAAATCCGAAGACCCACTCCAGTAGTAGCTGTGTGACCTCAGGCTAATTGTTTAACCTTTCTGATCCTCAGTTTCCTCACCAAAATTTTGGATAGTAACACTAACTTGTCCGGGAAATTAAAGAAAATTCATGTAGAGTCTGTAGCAGAGTGTTTGATATGTTGTATGTGCTCTGTGATTGGTAGCTTTTATTTTGGTTGAAGTTGCCTGTATCCACATCATAAAGGCCATTTGTAGGGGAAGGATTTGGGGGAGGTGGTGACTGAAACTGAACATGCAGAACTTATCAGATTGAACCTTGCTTGAGCAAGTGCCTTCCTGTGGTATAGATGTCTCCTTGTAGAGAGAGAATTAGAACAGGATATTTTCCGGTGTACTGGCCCACCTCCCTCCTGTGTGGTATAAACATGTTAAGGAATTAGATTCGTGTGAACATTTATAGAGCCATTAAATAACCTGTACCAGCTTTTGAGCTGATGACAGAATGAGTCCATGAGTCAGTGGCCCGGGTACAGCTGAATCCCTATCTGTATTTTTGCTGTTTGGAGGGTTCATTCTTTTTTAATTCTTGTGGGTTGCTTAAAACCTGCTTTTGCAAACATTCATTAATACTAGTCTTAAAATGTTTATAACAACAACAAAAAGTTAGGAAAGGGGATCCCTAACAAGATCATTAAAGCGGTAAGACTAACTTCTTTGATTCATTTAACAAGCTTATCTGGAATGTGTTCTCTGGACGCAGAAATGAGCCAGGGCCATGGAGCTGCACCATGAGGAATTAGGAAATTGGGTCCTTGCCTTTAGGGAGCTTCTAATCTAGCAGCATAAAGTTTTCAGTTGGGAGGAACTTCAGAGAGTATCTTATCTGATTTACCCGCAACTTTCCAAACTCCCACTAAACAGAACCCTCTGTAGCAAAGAATGAGGCATGCCCCTTTATATCAATTGGGAAGGAATTATAAAACATATTATGTTTTGTACATTTCTTGAAATGTTTATTCTGATATATCTTGTTATTTGTGGGATACTTATTCCTCTCTTTGAAATTCTTTGGAGAATTCCTAGAGAAAGCATTCTTGGGGTAGACACTTCTAGATTGCCCTCATTTTAATCCCATTTTTCTAAATAGAGTCAAAAGAGGAGTACCAAATACTTTAAACTCATATTCTCGAAATTGGTTGTTGGAGGTTTGGAGATGTTTAATCATATTCTGCCTCCCTTCTGGGTTCTTAACAAATTTAAAATAGACACAGAGAGTCAGGTGAGTATCATGGGTCAGTATCTATCTTATTAATAAGTCTCATAATTCCCAAATGCAGAGCTTCTAGTAAACTAAGTTTGGAATATATTTGCAATACTTAAAATATGAAAAGGATCTGTAGCCAGCATATATAAGGAAGTACTATTAATGCTAACCAATAAAAACCATCAATTAAAGTTATGAGTCTATATCCTTGAAATTCTCTTACATGTGTGCAATGAAGTTCACTGAAGCATACATACTGTGCTCAGTCGCAAAAAAAATTTTTAAAACCTGGAAGCAGTTTAAGCACCTAGCACTAGAGGAATGAATAAATAAAATCCTTTATAGACCCACAGTACAGTATCATGCAGCAGTTAAAAGAAATGACCCAGGCGCATATATATCTCCACAATTATAGATCTCAAATCATATTATTAAATGAATAGAGGAATAGAGCAGAATGATAAAGAATTGTATGACACCATACAAATTAAAAAACCATACACTGTTTTTAGATGGACATTCAACAAATATTTATTAAACACCAGTTATACATACACGTGTGCGTGCACACATTACTATAGTACGTTTTGATATGATATATTTATAAATGGCATGTATTTATATCTGTTTTATACGTAAACATTCATATATAAGATGTATAGTTTATTTGGTATATTATGAATATTATACAATTATTAAAGTATCAAAATGATCATACCAAACCCATGATCATTGTTGTACCTGGGGATGGGGGAAGGGGAATGGGACTGGGATGGTAGTTTCATTTCTTCAGGGAGAGAGTGGCAGCTAGAAGCAATGTTACAAAATGTTACTAGTTCTTATGCCTGTGATTGAAATGCAGTGCTTGTTACATTCATTATACTTTTCTGTATCTTTTAAATTTCTCAAAATTCAGAGAAGTCTATGAAAAGAGGAATATGTGTATGACAAAATGTCAGGTGGAAAACAAGCAGATTACACAGTAGTCACTGGCGTTGCTCACACCTTCCACTGCATCCACATATGTACAGTTTGGTGGAAGAAAACCTTCAGGAGGAACTAATACACGGGCACCAAGCCATGCTCTAAGTCACCTGAAGTTCTTCTGGGTTTTTGTTGTTGTTGTTGTTTTGATTGATTGATTGATTGATTGATGGCTGCATTGGGTCTTCGTTGCTGGCTTTCTCTAGCTGTGGTGAGCGGGGGCTACTCTTCCTTGCGGTGCATGGGCTTCTCATTGCGGTGGCTTCTCTTGTTGTGAAGCACAGGCTCTAGGTGCGCAGGCTTCAGTAGTTGTGGCACGCAGGCTTCAGTAGTTGTGGCTCGTGGGCTCTAGAGCGCAGGCTCAGTAGTTGTGGCACCTGGGCTTAGTTGATCCGCAGCACGGGGATCTTCCTGGACCAGGGCTCGAACCCGTGTCCCCTGCATTGGCAGGCGGATTCTTAACCACTGCACTACCAGGGAAGCCCAGTGCTCCTGTTTTAATTTCATTTGAAACTGCTCCCATTTCCAAGGGCTCTGATAGTCATGGCCGCAGATGGAGTTAACCTCTATTCACTGCTGTTCTTATTGGCCAGTTGATCAAATGTGTGACAAGCCTTAATATAATCAGAGCTTCATAACTTATTAGGCTAAACAGTCCCCACAAATTCAGTTAGTTCTGTTTGCCCAGCTTCTCATATGTCCTCTGGGCCTCCCCCAGTTGTTATCCTCCCAAAGTGTTAATTCCCAGGAAATGTATTAGATTCGTCAGGCCAACGGAAACCTCAGGATCCATCATGAAATCCCATGGACCCTGCTTTTCTTCCTCTTTTTAGGGTGCAGCTTGCCCACCTTAGCCATGTCCTGGAAGAGGAAGGAAGCCAAACAGACATGTTCTCCCCAACCATGGGCCCAGGACACCCACTCCTCGCTGCTCTCTGGGCCTTTTCTCCCTCATATCTAGCTAGTTCACTCTTCTGTGCCTTCTGCGGGCAGGGACATCCCATCAGTAGCTGCAGTCCTCTCCCTGGCCAAATGCATGTGCTTCCTATTCTGAAAGCAAAGAAGAAGGAAAGGGAAGGTGAGCGCTGTGGTCCAGCAAACAGTGTTGCTCCTCCGTGTAGGCAGGAGGGAAAGGAACCAACTTGTCACATTCTCCCCTGTCTGGTAGGCTAGCCCATGGAGCATTAAGACGGGCAAACCCAGCATTCTCTACTCTCTCCACCTGTGGCTGGGTGAGTCAGTCACCATCCAGAAGGCCTCAGCGGGGTGGAAGGAGAGGGGATAAGGAGAGCCTGCTGGGTTCTGTAATCCAGCAAGAACGCTGATTCTCATCTGACTGTTCTCAGTTAAAAACTATAAGGAAAGGAGGTGTGTTCTTAGTCTCCCCAAACCTCCAGCCATGTTCAAAATAAATTCTAGGGTATAAGCAATTAGTTCAGAACAAAGAGCTCTAAAGAGTTTGTCTGGAAGGCACATCTTTGTCAAGAGGCATATGGATTGAAATCCCAGGCCTGCTAAAGCCATTGTCCTGAAGGAAGTGAGTCTTAGAGGAGACCCATGAAACTTCATGTCCTAGAGGAAGTGAATCCTAGGGGAGACCCATGAGGCTCCAGTCCACCAAGTGGGTTCTCCTGGCTTAGGGGTGAGGGGTGGTATTTAAATCTTAACTCTTATACCTGAGAATAGACTAATTTAAGACATCTCTTTGAATTAAGTCCATCAAATGACCTGGAAATCTTCTGCAAAGAATTACGCACAATTTTATGGTGTATCTCTTTATCATTATAAGGAATCGGGTATAACAGGGAAATTTTTTATAAGATAATATCAAGTGAAAAAAATAAAATTAAAAAATTTGTTGTCTATCATAGGATTGAAACTATATAAAAATGACATACATACGGACAGAGATTTAAATGAAACTTGAAAACTTTCTAATTTATTAGCAAGACAGGGTTGTAAGAAAATTTTTTAATTTGATTTTGATCGATGGTTTTTTGGTTTATAAGAACAATTTTATAAAACAATCTTTGGGAGAAGAACCCTGGCCCCATCTTGAGAGAAATGTCTCTCAAGGTGGAATTTATCTCTGCTGTGTGAGCTCTTAGGAAGAGGGCCCGAACCCGTGACAGAGTTAGCCTCTGAACCTACAGATGGTAATTGTATTTTCTGTGACAAAAGTGGGCAGAATACAGCCCATGGGCCAAATCTAGCCTGCCAGACAAGAATGGTTTTTATGTGTTTAAATGGTTGGGGGAAACAAAAGGCCAAATAATATTTTCTGACATGTGAAAAATCATGTGAAATTCCAACTTAAGGGTCCACAAATATAGTTTTGTTGGAACACAGCCATACTCGTTCTTTTACTTTTCTCTGTGGCTGCCTTCATGCTTATAGCTAGAGCTGAGTTGCAACAGAGACCCTTTAGAATGCAAAGCCTAAATTATTTACTCTTTGGTCCTTCACAGAGAAAGTCACCAACCCTGCTGTAGGACATCAGTTCAATATGGCCCAGAGACATGGGCATCCTGCATTCTGTATCCCTGCTTTTTTTTTTTTTTCTTTTCTTTCTTTGGCCTTGCCATGCGGTGGCTTGTGAGATCTTAGTTCCCCGACCAGGGATCAAACCTGTGCCCTCTACATTGGAAGCACAGAGTCTTAACCACTGGACGGCCAAGGAAGTCCCATCCCTGCTTTTCCCTGTCCTCACTCCTGCTCGCCTCCTCGTGAGGAAAGGAGCATCATCGAAGTCAGATGAGTGCCAACATCAGGCAAAGCAGGACCTTGAGAAATAGGTCCCTTGAAGCTTCTAAAATATCCTTTTTAGAAGGATAGAATCAGTAGAAGGAGGATTTGGGTATAATAAACACTTCATGGGAGTTTTAAAGCTGTTTAGTCAATACATTCTCTCTTGGAAAGGAAAAGGCCAGTATACTAGGGTTCTTGTCACTGTGGTTGTTATCGTGGTGATCATTCCTCTACATGGTCAACAAAACAGTCAGAGGCTGTCATACCCCTACTGGTCATTACGAACGATTCCTTTTTCCAACTGAAATGATAACGCACAAGTCTAATTAGAATAAAGCTCATTAGAAACAGGCTTGGCCATTAATGCCTTGATTGATTTTTCTAATGAAATAAGCCAGGGGAGGAGACTTGAACAGCACTGCTAATTATTTTTGCTTTTCTTCGGCATTGCCTCAAAACTTGTTATAAATTGTTGTTGTGCTGTAATGAAAATGCTGCTGAAACATTCCCTGACGGAAGAGGCTCTGACACTTGCAGCCCCGAGGAAGCAGTGGAGGGCGCCTGACTCCTGGCCCACAGCCCTACAGGAGGAGGATTCAACAGCAGCCCCTGGGGGGTGTCCTTCATTTCACTTTTCCACCCTCTTCCCGCCTCCTCCTCGTCATCTTTGTTCTGGATTCTGGCTGGTGGTTCACAGATGCTCAAGCTGTGGAATGCAGCTCTCGTGCCCCTGTATTCCTGGTTCGACAGAGTTTAAATGTTCAGGCTCCCATAGAAACTTAGATCCGAGGTTGCCGCTGGATGGTGATACATGCAGGAAAAGTTTTGGGGAAAAAGATGTTAGGTGGGCAGAGAAGCAAGACGGCCCATTAAGCGTCTGTACCAAATACTGTTGGGATAATTGTGTTTCATTAATCAAGATGTTCTTTGGTGCCCAGAAAGCCAGACTGCCCCACAGTGCAGGGTAGAAGGCTACCAAAGAGGCGCGACTAAGTCAGGAAACAGACTCACTAAGCCCACAGTTAGGAAGAGAGAGGAGGAAGATGAATCATGCAAAGGAAGCAGACAGGTGGTAGGAGAATTCAAATAATGCACAGGTCAGAAACCTATGGAGCTTCCCAGTCATCCAGAGAGGTTCAGGAGAGGAGGGGGAAGTCTTCATTTGTCAGTTAGCCTGCTGTATGATGAGTGTAACAGTGCACACTTCCGGGCAGAAATAAGCCTTATTAAAGCACACTTCTATGGGCCACACAAGGATTCCACTGAGTGTCAAAAAGACAAAGAGGAGAGAGCAGTTCTCATGGGTTCCCTTACCCTGCTCCTCTCCACCCGGGTGCCCCTTCCCAATAAAGTCTTTTGCTTTATCAGCAAAAAAAAAAAAAAAAAAAAGACAAAGGGGAATAAGAGACGTGTTCTGTTCTGCCCCCTGTAGTAAGGGAAGCAAACATTTTGGCTAAAATTACTTTTAATACGTGGTGGGATGGAAGGATGACTGAGGGGAAGAGACCAATTCTCCCTAGAGCTTTCACTTGAAATTATGATGTTGAACAAGATCGTAAGACTAAGTAACCACTAAGAGAAGTCTGGGGAGGAGAGAGTATGAGAGAAGAAAGCAATATATGTGGAAATGCAGGATATGTACAAGAAGGATCTGCCAGTTTCAGACACAGTGGATGACCGATCCTGTTGTTTTGTTCGTCTTTTATATGTTTTAACCATATTTTCTTTGGGATATTAGATGGTTTTTTTCCATGCCTAATAAAAATGCTGCAATGAAAATATTTGTACACTTCTAAGAATTTTATAAAGGTATAGTTTACATGCCATAAAATTTACTTATTTTATACATACAATTCAATGATTTTTAGTAAATTTACCAAACTGCATGACTATCACCACATTCCAGTTTTAGAACATTTTCATCACATCAGTAAGATCCCTCCTGCCAGCATACAGCCAATCCCCTTTCCCATCTCCAGCCCCAGGGAACAAATGCATATATTTTTAAAAACATATATTTGGGAGTTTATCATTAATATTGATGTCTATGATTGCTATAAGAAGGGTATGAACGTTCTTATGACTCATAATACATATTACCACATTACTTTCCAAAGCAGCCCTACCACTTTACAAGGCTGCCAGCAGCGTATGAGAGCTGCGCTTCATTGTACACTCCCAAGAATTGGGTATCGCTATTTTTAAATAATATCTAATTGTCTTCATTTGGATTTTTTTATTACTGAAGCAGACCGTTTTTCTATTTGTGTGTTTGCTGACTTTATTTGTTCTAAATGAATTTCCACTCTGTGCCCTTCCCTCTTGTTGAAATCCTCTTACATTAACTTTTTTTATTGATATGAGCTTCTCATGTAACTTGTCACTTACACATTGTATGCTGCAGGTATTTTTCCCATTGAGGTTTGCCTTTTTATTTTGTTTTATTCTTTTTCTTTTGGTATGCAAAGTTTCATTTTTACATGATGAAATATGTTCATCTTTTTATTTTCTACGTGATCTTTTTTATGGCTTTGAGGCTAAGAGTTATTTCCTTCTCCAGAGCTTTGACAGAAGCTCAGTTTTATGGTCTGTTTTGTATTATTATTAAGATTTAGCACATCATTTCTCTTGAAATCTGTCATTTCTGGTGACCCTCTTTGTCAAATACTTAATTCTTACATATCTTAGGCCATATTACCAGGATATCTTATTCTGTACTGGTGATGTTTTTGACGGCTCCACTTTAAAAAGAACATGAGAAAAGTGACACACATGCAAGGGAGTAAGACCTAGGTGGAAACCTCGTTTTTCACAGGTAATGGACCGAAGGATGCTATCAGTCTGGGAAGACCTAGCCTCTGGTTACAAAGGCCCTGACCGTGCCATTCTGTGGGAGTTACAGAGAGGCAGGGTTTGGGCTCAGCTGTGAACAATTTCATGAGTAGCTGGAAAAGTATCTGACATGTTCCAGTCGTAAAGAGAAGGCTCCCTGCCTGTAATATGGTCAGTGGAGGTCTGTTCTACATTAGATGCAAGGTAGGGGAGGAAGACCTCTGGGTCCCCTTCCAACTCCAAAATCTCAGAACTCTCTAGATACTGTTCCTCCTTTCGTTTATTCAGCAAATATTTATTGATCATCTAATATGTCGCCAGCACTAGTCTAAGTCCTAGGGATGCAGCAGTGCAGAAAACACTTTCAGCCCACTGGACGCATCTATTCAGGGGGGAAGACAGCCAATAAAGGAATAAAGCAATACGTTAATGATGTCAGGTAATGATAAGTAATATAAATAAAAATGAAACAGAGTAAGAAGTGCTATTGTATATAAGGAGCTCAGGGAAGACAGTGAGGTGACATTTGAGCAGAGGTCTAGAAAATGTGAAGTGATGGATGGGGTGAGGGCTGCAGGCAGGAGGAGCCAGCCAGGAAGTTGGAGGAAGGACAAGCATCCAGGCCCTGAGGTGCCAGCTTGTTTGAGGGCCTGGATGTAGATGAGTAATCCAGTGGTGGCCCAATTTCTCACATAGTCAGTTTATTAACAGTTGGATCTGTTGACCTCATTTTTCAATATCATCATAAGAGCTATAATTTATTAAGTACCATGTGCCAAGCTTTGCCAAACACCTATGTGTATTACTCCTAAGTCTCCCAACAGCACTGCAAGTTAGGTCTTACTGTCCCCATTTTACAGATGGGGAAACTGGAGCTCACTGCTTCCTCTCTGGAACTTTCATCTTGTTCTAGTCTACTCCATTGGGGAAATACTCAGTTCACAGCTGACTATTACATGCCTGAGGTGTATGTATTAGGCCAGATGCACACACATCTACAGAGAAGTACTAGAGACTCCTGTGATAAACTCACCCCTGAAACTGGACAGCCAGCCCTAGACTGTTTGCCTGCGTAAACTTGAGGAGAAGAAGTGCACTTTGGAGGAATAATTCCTTTATTTGAAGTCACTCTTTGATCTGTTCCTCTTTAAACTAGCAGAATTAGGACAATGTCCTTTCCTTTGCTACACCTTAATATTGCTAATTCGAAGCCTAGACATTTCAACGAACAAAAAAATCCTGACCCTAGAACCTCAGACATGTATGAGTTGACATAAACTTCCAGTTTCCAAGAAAATAATGCAGACAGTTGAAGAGGGCATGGAAACTCTACAGAGTAGGGCTGTGGTCAGGGAAACTGGTAGACAAAAAGCTCCTTGAGATTTTTTGAGTCTACACCAAAACGCCTCTGTGGTTCTTCATAGGACCCTTCCTTGTCAGCGTCCTCGTGCGTTTCCATTCTTCCCACATGTGGGGTCTCGTGGGGACCTGGCTGTCTGTAGCTTTCAGTGTGTCCTTTGCACAAGGGTGGAATTGTGTCTAACAGTCCCTAATGCTGGCTGCATACAGTGTCTTTACAAAGACTTCCATTTTGTAGTCCCTTTAAGGGGAAAGGGCATGCTTTGGACTAAGAGAATTGCTGTGTAGCTCCCAAACCCAGCTCACTCCCGCTTCCTGCCGTCTGACAGCTGCAGGTTTTAAGGTTCTCTTTTTAGCATAGTTCTTTAAAAATTTCAATGAGACGTGAAGTCATATTATAGAAACAAGCTCCCTATCTGGCCCAGTAGAGCCTGTGTGCAGGTGGGGCCCTTGTGATGCTGAGATGGGGCTGCTTCAGTACGTTTTCTTGGGTTCCCCTTAAAATGACACTGGCCACATGGGAGCTCTTACTCTCCTTGTTTTTGATTTCCAAGTTTTCTGTTCGTAAAATAATTGCTTCTCAGAGCTGCTGACAGGTGATAATAACAAAAATAAAACTGATTTGAATTCAGTTATCAACTCACTACAGTCATAACAAAAGAGGCAAGGATTAGCCCTGTGTTCTGGGCTTCTCTGAGGTTTGCCCACAAGTAACAGGACGCAGGACTCCTACCTACTTTGCAGGGTTGGTGTGAGTAACCAATGAAATAGTGTCTGCAAAGAAGCTGATGCAATTTTCCTTCTCCTTCTCATAGTAATTATAATAATTTCAGAGGAGCAAATGCTTGAGAAATGGAAGTTGCAGTTTGGGTTGACGCAGAGCGTTTACAAGAGATTTGTCCCTCAAAAGAGGGCGCTTCCCTATGGTGACAGTAAACTTGGAGGGTCTGTTTAACCCTATAACTCATTTACAGAGTTGGAGACACCGCTTTATCAGCGAGTGCACCAGTTCACGTGTGTGTGTGTCTGTCTGTCACTGCATCCAAGTTCTTCCTTGTGGATAAGATGCCCTCTGAACCCCAACATTGGCCACCTAGGCCTTTGCTTTGATTGAGGCTTCTTAAGAAGGGAAGGGATTGAGGTGTCTGCCATAGAAGCTTTATTTGAGCACATGGGGTTCTGGCCCGTCTGGGGTGCAAGGCTGAGGTGGCAGGAAGGGCTCCCTGACACCTGGCAGAGTACCATTTGTGACGACAGTTCTCACCCACCCAACCGCCATAAGGAAGGTGGTCCTTATTCTCCTGCCAGGGCCTGGACAAACAGGGGGTTTAATAGCAGTAGTAGTAATAATAGCAGCAGCTAATATTTATTGACCACCTGCTAGAAACGGTATTTTTCCCATGTAATCCTGATCACAACCCTATGAAACAGAGACCATGATTCTCCCCAGGAAACCAAAGCCCGAAGATTTGCCCAGTGTCTCACAACAGTGTGTGTCCACATATACACTGGAGAAGTCCTCTCCTTTCCTAACGTAAACTCCATGAGCCCGCCTTTCCCCTCCAGCCAGACGCTCAGAGGCCACTCGCAGGTCTACTGTCTGAGCCCCATGAGTTGAGGATACGTGGAGAGCATCATCTGATACATTTCTGATAGGTTTGGATGTGTCCTGTTGCCCACAATGGAGAATAAACTCCCAACGGTCCACGAGGGTCTCCTTTCTAGCTCTCCACCATGTGGCTCAGGGAGTGTCTCCTGGGTGGTCTGGGCCAAGGCAACAGCTGGCATCTGCTTGGACACGGTCACCAGGGAGGTGTCATTGGGGACACACTTCTCTTGTCAGGAAGATTGCTCACCCAGCTTCCCTGCCCAGGAGACTTTTTTTTGCAGCAAGTAAAACAAGCCTGGAGATGACACCAGGCTCAAAAACTCTGCAAGGAGCAGGGGTGAGAGTTGGCGATGTGATAGCAGAAGAAACCAAAATCTGCTAATTGGTGAACCATTCAAAGAGAACACGCAATCTGGGGCCGGTTAGCACGGGAATGGGCCACCCTCGTGCTTTTGCAGACCCCGAAGACTCCTTGGTGTGGCAGCACTTTTTTGTTTGTCGGACACACGTGTACACCTGTGTACACACATACATGTATAAAATTATGTGCCAGGCCCGATTTAATCACTTTACTACTATTAACTCACTTAATCTTCAGCAACCACATGAAGTTGGTACTGTTGTTATCTTCGTTTTACAGATGGGGAAAGTGAGACACAGAGAGGTAACTTGATCAAAATCCCAGAGCTAGTGAGTCACAGAGCCAGGATGACTGCCCAGCCAGGTGGTACCGTCGTGCATTAGAATGATGCTGAAATATTAGGAGAATGTGAGCTACTTCCAATATACAGATACTGTGACAAAGAAACATGTCATACATTTGAGAAATAGTTGTATGCGAAATTATTATTTTCTTTATGTTTTAGATACTTTTAGTAATAAGTCCCAGTTATAAAGAAAATTTTATTTTTAAAGGAACTTTCCCCCCAGAATTGAAACATGTAGTGTGTATTTAAAAAGAAAGAAGTCGGGGCTTCCCTGGTGGCGCAGTGGTTGAGAGTCCGCCTGCCAGTGCAGGGGACATGGGTTCGTGCCCCGGTCCAGGAAGATCCCACATGCCGCGGAGCAGCTGGGCCCGTGAGCCATGGCCGCTGAGCTTGCACGTCCGGAGCCTGTGCTCCACAACGGGAGAGGCCACAACAGTGAGAGGCCCGCGTACCGCAAAAAAAAAAAAAAAAAAAAATCACGAGAAAAAAAAAAAAGGAAAGAAGTAAGCCCCCTCCCCTTCCACTGCTGCTGAGCTAGCTGTTTTTGCTCCTGCCCATAGCCATGGTCAAGCCTACTCTCCACATGTTTCTCCCGCCCTTGTCTAGGTCGTGGGGAGGCTTAGATGCCAAGCACTTTAGACAGTCAGGACATGGCTCTGACTTCTGTTGGAAAGAAGATGTGGACTTTGATCACTCATGCAAAACCCTAAGGTATTAACATGGGATGTTTGCAGAGACCAACTCCAACTACCACCTATGCTATCTAGTCAGAAAGTTAAAGATATGTGCATGGCATGCCAAAGATTGGATGTCGGGTAAAAGCTTTATGACTTCGGAAAACTTCTGGGCCTCTCTGGGCTTTGTTTTTCTCATCTGAGGAATGGGAGACACAACAGTACATAAGACATAGGGCTGTGGTGGCAGAATCAGCAATACTTGAAAAGTGCTAAGCACAGTACCCAACATGGAGAGAGCATTCGGCAAACTTGAGCATCGTGGGATGTTACCTGTTCACACTTGTGTGATCCAGGAGTAGAGGGCTCAGTCCAGTTGAGCCAGTATGATTGTCACTCCAGGAAATTTGAAACAACAAACAGACACAGAGACTGGAAGTCACTGGAACTAGAGCACATTAATAGCCATTCTCAGGAGGTAAGGTCCATGTTGTTCCCACATCTGTCCTTTCCAACCTTGCTTACTGAACCTTCACTTCTTTGGGATACCTTTGTATCTTTCCAATACATTCCTCTTTTTTTTTTTCTTTAAAAAAAAAAAAAGAAAGTGGTCAAAGGATATAAATAGTATGAATACATGACTTTACACAAAGCCTTTATCTGTGACACAGGCAGGACAGGGACTTGTTTCCGTGCTCTCTCTGAGAGACTACAGACCAAGGAGCCATGTGCTTTGACCAAGACAGCCCGGTGATGTCAGACATGGAGCTTAAATCCCAGGCCTAACTGTGCCTTCATAGAGTATATAACCTGCTGGAGAGAGGATGAAATATGTTCAAAAGTAACGGCTGGATACAGTTCTTAAGCCCTCAAGTAACCTGTTTTGTTAGGGGATGGATGCATTAAGAGCATTTTTGCCTTCCTTGTGCATCCCAAACATACCAAACATAGTCCTAGATATGTTATACATATTCAGTGAATCTTTGTTTTTTAATCCCTGTTTTAACTTAGAATGGATTAAGGGACTTCCCTGGTGGTCCAGTGGTTAAGACTCTGCACTTCCACTGCAGGGGGCGAGGGTTTGATCCCTGGTCAGAGAACTAAGATCCCACATGCCACACAGTGTGGCCAAAAAAAAAAAAAAACCACCACATTAGGGTGGATTAAAACTAAGACATCCCTAGATTATGCCATCCTCCTCTGTAAAAGTGTAATAAGTTCTGGGCTTGGAGATATAGCTGTGGAGTGTGAACAGCCCGAGCAGAAAGGGACTCCGTTCACTGTTCATTTTGGTTTCTCCTGTTCATGACAAATTGGTCTCCAGAATGGATAATCCATTTGGTAATGACTTGGTGAAAGGCTGAGTCTTTCCTGTGCCTAGTATAAGTTCTTACCAATACAAAATAAGGGCTTATTGGGGGCTTGGTAAAACTTCCATGCTATGAGGTATATACAGTTTATAAATCAGCCAGCACGTATTTATGACTTAACCTTCCTGGTGCTCAGTAGTCAATGACGGAGCCTGGCTCCTGTTGCAGGGAGACATATACTGAGAGAAAACCGATTGCAAGTAACTATCTCAAGCCTTGCTTTGGATTCTCAGTCACATCTTATTCTTTTCTTTTCCTCTCAAGGGTCGAGATTACTGTTCGGAAGAAGAAGATATCACATAGCACCAATTCTACCACTCAAACTGGGAGCTACTACTGTGTAAATAGGTTACACCCCACGTTGAAATCTTTGCAAAGGTCGGTTCTCTTCAGCGAACAGCACTATAGCAAAAGAAGATCGTTCCATATCGTATGCCCCATTAAATTACAATGTTTCTTAATGAACTTGCAAAGGAATATTGCTAAAAACAAACAAACAAAAAACTGTTATCGAACTTTCTTTGTTGCTGCTAGTTAAAACTTGTTGCAACTTTTCACTTCTCTCAGTGTCCAGGTCTGCAGCAAAATTCTGCAATTTCACCTTAAAGATACTGTTGGTTTTACAGATGCTCTCCAACCTATTTTCTATAAGATAAGGTAGTGGTGAACTCAGATATCCAACTTCTGTCCTAGACCAGTTCCGCTTCTAAGACAAGCGCCTCCTTCCCTCTCTCCTCCTTCCCTGCCTTCCCCTGAGCAGTCCAAAGCCTTGCTTCTCACTGGCAGTGTCGCGCTTTGGAGAGGGGACGGTTGCTATGGCAAAAGCCTTGTTTCTCTGTGAAGAAGAAGTAGAGACGCTGTTGTCGATTAAAAGCATGTTGTGACATGACTCCTGGAAGTGACATAGGAGCGAACGGCAGGTGGTTTCATTTCCCGGGTCTCTTAATCAAAGATCAAGCTTGCAGCGTCAGTTTTGCTCCGATGCAGACGGAAGTGTGATCACAATCATTTTGAATCCCTCTTGCCTACTTTTTTTTCTAAGAAAATAAACATTTTACTGTTTTTATGTTTCCTTGTCTTCTCCCATTCATCCAGCTCAGTGTTTTATGATGATCCTGGGTGCGGAAGACGAGCCCTCCTTAGCAATGACTCCTCAGTGGCTCCCTACCGTCCCATTTATAACCCACCAAGCATTCGCAGTGCTGACAGTGGTCAGAGGAGGTGAGGGGACGTCCCACGGCTTTTTAGGAGGGCCTGAAACCACCCTGTTAGCTTTCATCCTGTTAGCAAATAAACCACCCTACTTCCCTTCAAAATGGCATGTGGGCCTTGCCACTTCCTTTCTCTTACTTGCAGCGCTGGGTGGTGTGGTGAAAAGCGTTTGCCGACTAGAAAACATAGTACATGGACACTGGTGATGATATTCGGAGATGCGAAAGCCAAAGCCCGGGGCAGTCGTGGGGAACATGAACTGTGGGTTTGGTAGAGTTTATTTTTCCATATTCTATGAAGAGAATGGTCTCTTCTCAAAGACAGAAATAATATTTTTAACAAATGTTGTCACAAGTAAATAGCAATCAAAAGGAGAAAATAACTTTTGTATTTTTTTAACACGTTCGATAGCTTTGACGAGGTTTCTCTTTGTTACTTTCAGGGGAGGGCGCCCTATTCAGTGCCACGCCAGCAGTCCAGGTGTGGGTTTGGCCCACAAAAAGAAACACAGCAAAAGCACTGTGTGTTTCTCTGTTTGCAGGGTTGTGAACGCGAAAAGCCTCAGCATCAGCCACACTGCCACCCTCCGGAGGTGGGTAGTTAATACGCTCTGGGTAGTTGAGAGATCACCTGCCACAGAACAGAATAAGAAGCTTAGTGTGTTCTTGCTGTGAAGATGAGCCTTGACCTGAAAATCCATCCACAGAGCTGGTGGCACCAGTAACGTGTTCAGGGGGAGATTCCTTATCTCCCTTTAGACCGGGCACACACCAAAAGTGAGGGGAAGGAAACTCAGTCAGGCACTAGAGAAAATGGACTCAAACGTTAGCAACAAAAGCCCTTCCTTCTTTCAACCGGCAGCAGCAGCTATTTGGGGGAGCAGCTGTGGTTGTTACATAAATAGAGACGCAGCCAAAATTTCAGGCTTTTTATCCAGCTTCGAGCAGAAAAAACACAGGGAGAGTTCGAGTCGCCTAGGGTTTTATGTCCCCTCCTTTTCTATGGTTTTTGGCCAAGTGACTAAAATAGTTTTCCCCAACTGTAAACGAACTGCCAAGCCCCACCTTAAACTTGTGCGCCAGTGACTTGTTCACTGTTCCGAGGGTGACCTTTTCCCGAGATTCCTTGTTCTTATCCAGCAAGAATGAAGCAAACACTAAATGTCTTCCATTTCGCTCCTCTATTTGGTGTCTCAGATAGTGTCTTCCCAGAAAATCACCACCTTCCACGTGGAGATGAAACAGGCTCACGTCATTTTTCTGACGGTCACGTTTAACATTTTGACATGATACACGTGTACACAGAACCACGTGTCTCTGGGGAATCTGATTTTTGGGGGTTTCGTGAAACCTGAAGTGTTGTGCCCGTGAGCCAGTGGCTTTTCACCTGGAGTTCTGTCTCCCGGGTTTAACACGGGGTACCTCTTTGATGGGCAAAAGTGATGTCATCTGCAGACACATTCGGTACATCTAGAAACAGATCTGAGAAATGGGGTGACGGAGCCAGTTGGCGTGAAATACTTGACTATGTTAGCAACGCTCAAAACTGTCTGTTTTCCATTTGTTGGTTTTAATCATAAAATTGTCAAGGGATCTGTGTTTGTACTTTATTTTTTTATGCCTTCTGAAAAGGTCTAATGCAAAAACATTTGCCTTTTTTTTTTTCCCCTGTGTATCTGAACATTAAGCCCGTTGTCTCAGATACAGTGAAAGAATAATCCAGAAGCTGGTGCTCCTGCTGGCTGTCATCTCTGAGGACTCAGGGAGATGAAGGAAGGAGGGAGGGAAATGGTCTGGCGGATGGAGGTATAGAAACAGAATGAGCAACGGACCGAGAAGCATTTAGGACAGAGAAGGGCGATGGCTGTGTGCCCGGTGCGATTCAAAATCCAGCTGCTTTAGTGGCCAGTGGGTGGGGCAGACTGTAGGCAAGATTTACAGCTAGATTACACACGCCTTATGGGCTCTGAGTTGTAGAATTGTACAAGTTCAGCAGTATGTGCGTAGCTTTCTTTTGGTTGGCAGACATTCAGGATCACGGAGTACTGCTGTCATAATTGAATGCGTGTTTGTTACTGGCAGAGA